TGGAGGAAAAGGATGGGCAAGAAGCTAGACTATCACCTACTTGAATAGACATTATTTATTTAGTGCATTTATATTCTAACTTTCCTCTAAGTGACTCAGGGTGTTCTGCTTGGTTCTTCCATTCATTACAATTGTGAGGTAGGGTTTATTGAAATGCATAGTACCTGACTTGTACTGGAAGATTTCTGTATGGTGAGAATGAGTAAGAGACTGACGTGTCTTCCTTTATCCTACTTGCATATGAATTGCATACTTGGACCATGAAAATGTGAGCATCAGATTTCACTTGCTTGATTTTTGATGGACCATGTCGTGCTCCTGGAATCCCCTACATGGGCCTGGGCAGTCACTAGTTCAGTCACTTGGTTATTCTGCTGACTCCAGACATCCCTGAAAATACTTTCTGCCACAAGAGAAAGCAGCAGGACTTTCTCTTTATATTCTTACTCATGTACATCCACACCAGATACATGGGATGAGATATATGAAACACTGAGATGTTTGAGAAGGCTTTATCTTCAAAAGCTGTAACATTAACTATGGAGGGTCCCCCCAGCCATACTATTGATGTATTATTCTCTCTCTTAAAACTTGAGAGGAAAGGGTCACTGTGAGATAGACATACCTTAATATGCGTTTGCTCACAACCAGTGCCTTTTTCTAGAAAAAAAGGTGCCAGTACACACCATGAAGTACCCTTCTCAGACTACTGGCATTTGGCTGCCACCGAGTGGGCCATGCTACAGGCTAGACTCGGTGAAAGGCAAGTGCCCACCAAGTGCCTGAATCTGGGTTTGCCACTGCCGGGAGACATGGCCTTCCACCTCTGTGCCATCCATGAGACTTTTGAGGAAGCCAGATGACTTTTGGTGTTGCCCGGCCACCACTGCCACTGCTGTCACCCAGCCCACCTGCTGCCTGCTGAATGCCTTCCAGCAGCCTTGGAGCTGGCTGAGTAAGAAAGAGGCATTATCATCGTTCAAGGGTGCCTTCCCAGCAAGGCGGAAAATACTTGGGGAGGATGCAAAGCAGAGGGACGTGGTTAGGAGGAGGTGTGGCCTCGAGAGAATCCCAGGCACCAGAGAGAGGTGTGGAGTCCCACATTCAGTATGAGGTTCTCCATTGTCCAGCCCAGTTATATAGAATGCTAGAGTTCTAATATCTGTTGTAACAGAACTAGCTTTCCTACTTAACAACCATGCCAACCCTTTTACAATTGCTTTCTCTATCTTTCTCATCTCTCTCCCTCTTGTCTCTGACAGCCACTCTTTCCCACACTTTCTTCAGCGTCCTCTACCTTTTAAACTCTGCCCAATGTTTCAGTCTGCTTTCCTGCTGTCAATCATTCTTCCACTCACTCTTCTGTCACATTCCAGTATTGAGTTCCAAGTCTTCTCTAGAGGCCTCCTTCATTGTCTCTAATTAGATTAAAAACATTTTCACTGAGGAACAGTTCTGATGATCCAGCTTTTGCTGAAATGCTCAGAAGCTATTTCCACCTGAAAATCAAAACACAAGGAGGACATACTGTTTACATTTGGATATGCTGTTTGACTTCCAGACTGGTCTGCATACCTACTTCATTTTCTCAAGTGGACACAGGTACAAGGTCTTCAGTATTACAATTTTTGTTCATAGGAGTGACTTGGGAGAGACACTGATCCATTTTTGGTGCTTTCCCCAATCTATACTAAGGATTTTTGACAAGGAGGAATTTTATTGTGGCTCCTCTTCTTTGGGTTGTTGTACAGCAGCTTCGCTGCCAGTGAGAAGACTTCACTGTTCTTCATTCAGTCATGTGAAACTGCACAACTCCTGTTTGAAATCTTTAATTATGAGGCCTGTAAGCTCCTGCACTTAAAATGTTTAATTTCTTCAAGTATGCTACCATTACAAGAGAAGATGATGTTTCATGCACTTATGATTAGTGTTCATAGATAAAGTATTTGGAGCAATTACAAATACCTATAACAAATGCACTAGTGGTAATGATTTGTGTCAGGCATTAAGGTCCCTATCAATGCCCTGCCAACTGTGTTAGGAACGTCAGACCTGAGTGACAACAATTCCATGAACAAGGAGAAAGATAGCAGAAAGTGTCTGGCAGAGGAAAGTTTATTATATGAGCTAATTAAGGAGACTGTCATGGCTTGGTGGAGATTACACACATACACACACACACACACACACACACTGCTTGTTAAATGCTTAGAGTGCTTCATGGTATATTTGGGGGGCTGTTTTGATGCATTATTCTTTGCAAAAAGAAGCAGGGCAGTCACATTTTATTTTATTTATTTATTTACATGTTGTATAAGTGGGGACAAACATGGTGTATGTGAAGCTAGAATTCAGTTTATCTGAGGTTAAATCCATGGTTGCTGAACTGATTCTGCAGTCCTTGCTCTGTCTGTGGTTAGAACTATACATAACTTTTATACAGATTATGTCCCCCTCCCCCCTGTATCTGGAGATGCAGATGTGTCTGCTTTATCATCACAGAATAGTCTAAATATAGCATACCATAATGCATCTAATATTCGTGATCAGCCTCAAAGGAAGAGAAGTATTGTTCTTGTTGTTGTTTTGGAATTCATAGCCTGTCTTTTATCGCAAGTGATTTGGTGCCCATCATAACAATTTAAAATATAACCACCGTGTAAACTAAGCAATGAAATACAATGAATAAATCACAGTAAACCAAACTCTTTGTCCAAACTACACAAGCACAATATATGTAGCGCAGGGATATGCACAACGCATTCAGAGGGCCTGGTGGAAGAGGAAAGTCTCCAGCTGGCGCTAAAAGGGGAGGGTGTTCTGGAACTGGGGTGTTATTGTTGAAAATGGCCTTTGGTGAGTCATAGATTTCCTGACCTTAGTCAACAATGGCACTGCCAAAAGAACTTCCCCAACTGACCTCAAGATCTTAGCAGGAATGTTTGGTGCTCCTTCAGATAACCAGCTCCTAAGCCGTCCAGGGTTGTATAGCTTTGGATTGGGTTCTGGTGACAAATAGGCAACCAGTGCATGCCTTTGAGGACCAGTGCTAAATGACTCCATGCAGATATGCCTATTAAAAGTACAGCTGCTTTGTTTTGCACTAGCTGCAGTCTCTGTACTGTCTTCAAGTTGAGTGAGTTGTAGTAATACAATGGGGACGTTAGTAGTACGTGAATCATCGTGGCCCTACCATCTCTCTCCAGGAACATGCATAGCTTGGGATGGGCTATCCTTCCCATTTCAATCCTCCATTCCATCCCTTTGCACACCATTCTTTCTCACTCCATTCCAGCATATGCATTTTGTGCTCACTTTTTACTTAAAAATGCATCTACCAGTAAAATGCATTTGTGAATGGGCGGTATAAATGTAAACCACCCTGCTTCAGTAAAAAATATTTTCTTTTTGATAATGATTTTTATTAGTTTTCAATTACAATTCAAGTAAAAATTGTTTTCTGATATTCCCACGTTAGAGATTGGGTTGGTGTTTAGTGGTAACCACCACAAGCCAACACAGGAGATCTGCACAATGAAATAGGATGGATTAGATTCTGTGGCAGGATTCTACACCCATCAATCTTCTGATAAAGTGACTGCATCTAACCATCATGATCGTATGTGTCAGGAACATGCAAGGGCCCAGCTGTTGTGAACCCACTGTGCATCTGGATTCAATTTACCACATGCAATTTATTTATTTAAAATATCTATTGCCTAAAAGTTCAAGGTGGCTATCAGCCAAATGCAAGCACAGCAAGCACAATAAGGGAACAGGAATCACAGACATTTAAAACAATAAAGGCAGCACCTGGAAGAAAAACAACAACCCAAGCAGTAGATAAAACTAGCAGATTTTTTAAAAAGTTGAGAACAGCAGCTGTTCATAATTTCTTTTCCCTAAAGAAGATTTTTTGTGTGCTGAAAAAGAAGAACATCAGGGAAAGAGTCTCCCTAGGCAGAAATTTCCAGGACCTGGGTACAGCCACTCCAGTGGCTCTGCCTCCTAACAGTGTAGTGTAAAGGGATAAGGGGAAGGGTATAGGAGGAGAAATAGGGTGGGGGAAGCACTGTAGAGTAACAACAATTGCATCATCTGCCAGAATCACAAAGTAATTGATTGACCTCAATCTGTTTGTGACAGTATAGCACAGACAGATATATTGGAATTTAAAGGAAGACCATTGCTATTTTGAGGAAATTTTCGGTGCGGTACAACAATGCTCCTTACATGCCTAGAATCCAGGGCCTGGGCCCTTTAGGGGGCTGATTCCATATATTCCACAAAAAGATATATGTTGAGATGACAAGGTGTGGGAATCTTAATCTCTAGAAAAGGCTCTTGCCAATCCCATGCTGGCACCTCAAATAGGGAGTATCAGACGGTCTCAAAAGTTATCTATGTTGGTTGGCTGCCAACTGTGAAGTCATTTACTGTATTTTTTGCTCTATAATACTCACTTTTTCCCTCCTAAAAAGTAAGGGGAAATGTGTGTGCATCTTATGGAGTGAATGCAGGCTGCGCAGCTATCCCAGAAGCCAGAAAAGCAAGAGGGATCGCTGCTTTCGCTGCGCAGCGAACCCTCTTGCTGTTCCAGCTTCTGGGATTCAGAATATTTTTTTTGTTTTCCTCCTCCAAAAACTAGGTGCGTCTTATGGTCTGGTGCGTCTTATAGAGCGAAAAATACAATAGTTTGGAGGAAATTGATGTGTCACCCAAACACAAGATGTGACTTTTGCAACGACAACAGTATATAAGCCCTGAGACCACCTCTGCTAAAAAGAACTTCACTGTAGGCTAGATCTAGAAAGTGCTACCAAACTCTTATCTCCAGCTTCATGAGTCATGCCCATTGCTGACAGAGATCCTGGCAAACAAAGGGGCATAGGATAGCTTTCTTTGGCTATTTAATAAAATGTTTAACCTCCATTCCATTTCTAGTTACAGGTAGGTAGCCGTGTTGGTCTGCCGTAGTCTAAACAAAATAAAAAAAATGCCTTCCAGTAGCACCTTAGAGACCAACTAAGTTTGTTATTGGTATGAGCTTTCGATACCTGAAGATCATCTGAAGAAGTGTGCATGCACACGAAAGCTCATACCAATAACAAACTTAGTTGGTCTCTAAGGTGCTACTGGAAGGCATTTTTTAATTTTGTTTCTCCATTCCATCTGCATGTTCATTGTGCTTCAAATCCAAAAAGAACCTCTGCAGGAGAGGAACTCAGAGAATAGCCTATCCACATCAGCACTGCACAACTTGGGTAGAGGTACATCTTACCGTACATGGTAAGATGCAGATGGGAATGTAGATCCCCTTACGGCATCACTACCATGTGCATCACTGGTCGCTTGCTGGATGCAACAATGGCTTGGATTGGATATAGGTTGTTTGTCTGAGGCAGTGAGTCCACTGATCAGGAAATATTTTATTTTTCCATCTCAGGATGGAAGAAACATAAAATAAAACTCAGAAATCTCATTACAGTAGCCCTGGATATTTACTCTGGGCTGCAGATGTACAGAGTTCTTAAGGCTGCATGAAACTGGTGAGATTATGGGCTATGGATTATGCTGTCCTCTTGTTCCCGTGTTTCTGGACTAATCTATGTAAATCAGAATTTGCTGCATCCAGTAATTCCTGCAGTGAAAGGAAGCCCTTTCAATGGATTTTACTGACCTTTCCATCAGGCCCCATATGGAGTGGAAAAGTTACTGGGAGGTACAGAATAGCAAACAGCTTGTAAAAATTGTTGAAAAGAAATGAGCATATCATTTACCCGCAGGAACATATATTTTGAATCACAAAAAGCATTCAGTAGCATCAAGATGTAAGATGCCTTAGAATTTTTGGCAAAGTGCATGGTTATCATAGACCAATAATAAGTGTCTCTAGGATATGTTTTCTGAATTAGATAGCAAATATGAGCTGCAGTGCAACTGAGGTCACACTGGGAAGCACACACAGTGCTCATGATATGAGAACAGCTAGATGGGGAAATAAACAAAGAAAGTAGATCTATTTGTCTATCTACCTATCTGAGGATACCACATCGTTTACTCTTGGCCAGGGGTAGCCAACGTAGTGCCCTCTAGATGTTGCTGGACTCATCATCCCTAGCTATTGGCCATGTTGGCTGGGGTTGATGGAAGTTGGAGTCCAAGAACATCTTGAGAGAACCCTGCTCCTCTAGGCAATATAGATATTTCAAATAGCATCTCACTTGCTGGTGGGATTTACTCCTGGATAAACCTTCCTCAGGGTGGGCTGTAAAAGCGAGTCACAAATTCTTGTAATATTCCAGGAAGTTAGACTTTTGTGTTTACTAAAAAATAAAAATGAAACAGGGAAACTTTTGCATTCATACTTTGCTTTTCTACAAGAGGTTATAATAAATGTATCTATGCAACTGGGCTCCAGGCTATCTTTTTCTCCAAAAGGAAACACAAGAAGGAAACTTTCCCTTTAATTTGGGCACTATTAATCATAATGCAGATAATGTGCTTCCACAGTTCCTTGTGAAGTCATCTTCCTTTCTTAGGTCTGTGATTCTTGCTCCCATTGGACAGGATAACTGCACTGCAGGAACAGACAACAGAACTAAACCAACATCACTTAGCCACTAACTTGCTGTCAGGAAATAGCATTGCTGGATCCCCTATTCACAGTGGATAGGGAAGGTGGAGAAATTTGGCTCAGTTTGCAATTAATGGAGAACCTGCTAAATTCGCTCTTCCTAAAACAACACACAAACCAAAACACAGCCACCTTTTGAATTTCACCTCTCTCTGAATGTTGTGATGCAGTTCTCCAGACATGTAATGTGTACAGAAATGCCTACACTAGGGTAAAGTGTTCTTAAAAATACATTATATTCATGAAAAAACATACAAAATGCATTATATTAGTGAAAAGCACTTGCCAAAAGAGAAAGAGAGCATATATTAGGAGAAATATGCTAGTGAATTTTCATGGAAACTTTTGTAAAAATAAAAATTCACAAGCTGATCTGCAAATGTGCAGAACTGAACTTAAAATTGGAAAAATAAAAAACCTAGAAAAACTGAAATGGATAGATTTGTCCACCCCCAACAGAGGGTATTTGTATTCTTCAAGACCCTGACAAAAATATCCTGCTGTCAGGTGCAGGATTTCCTTTCCTTTCAGGGTGCTGTCTCCACTTACACAGCAAAGAGGTAAATTTCCACGAAGTGTAATGACAGGGACAAGAGAGTATGGACTTGTAGGTAGATCACAGAAATATGCGATCACAAGCTGACAGGCCTGCGAGGTTTGTTTAATTTTTTTTTTGAGTATGCAATCATTTTAACAATTGGTCTCTGCTGCTATGAATGGGGTTAAGAAAAGCATTTTTATATTTCTGTGCACTGCCCTGGTGTTTTGTATAGAAATACTTTTATCAGTGACTAAATATTAAAAAGTGTTGTGGTCAGGGAATAAGTTTAAGATATCGGAGCTCCCCATTTTGTGTTGATCCGTGTTGGTCTGCAAGATTATCAGTGGGACACAGCACACTCATGGAGCAGGTTGACATGTTGTGGTGTCCCCCCTCTTCGGTTTTCTTTTCTTTACTAAACTGGTCCTCTCCTCTACTTATTGTTAATCTATAGCTCCTGGCACTGAGCATTGTCCCTTGGGAGCTGGGCTGTCATTGACTGAGCCCCCTGCTATTGAACAGTGCTCTCAGCAGGGAGCACCTAGCAGAAGCTAAAGCTGTTTCAAGCTGTATTAACCGTTGATCAGATTTCTATGTGAAAATCTGCAGGGTCATCTGGGGACAATTATTTGAAGAGCAACTATGCTTTTCTTCCTCCTCACACCAACTCCCAGTACCAAGTATGCAATACTGCCTTTGTGACAAAACAAATGCTGGGAAAATTGACTGTTTTCATTTCTATTTTTACACCAGACATGTAACATTGGCTTTTGCGTACTGTAGGGCTGATTATAGTCTAACCTACAAAAATCAGCCAGGATGAGAGGGATGGTAGAGACATGTGTATCTAGAGAGATTAAGGGGGGAGGGTAAGTGTGTTATAGTAGTTAGAGTGCCGGACTATGACTTGCAAGGGTTCAAATCCCCATATGTGTTCATGAAGCTTGCTGGGTGACCTTGGGCCAGTCAACGTCTCTAAGGCTAACCTACCTCATGGGGTATTGTGAGGATAAAATAGGGGTGGGAGGAACCATGTATGCACCTTGAGTTCCTTGGAAAAAAGATGGTTTATTGCATTTATATCCCAAATACAATAAAGGACTTGAAGTGAGGGCAAAATTAAATGTGTTACTTAGTTTATTGTCGTGCAGCTGCTTGTACCATGCCCACAAAATTCACGATGCATGAGGCACTGTTTGCTTTTCCTGCTCAGTTATTGTTTGCATGGATTTGGACTCCTATATTTAACATGTCCCCTTAAACATGTCCCTTTAAACATGATAGGACACTCACCCTCCCTTGTGTTCTGAACAGAGGAGAAGTGCAAAGAATAGCTTTTCTCTGTGAATGAGCGTGGAGGTGGCTGAAGTAGATACCATTTTCCTTGATGACAGAGCATTCCTTCATCATTGTGTGATCCTTTCCCCCTTTCTGCTCTTCTAGAAGTGGCAGCCATTTTGTGTCAGTACTTTCAAGGTCCCCACTTTAACATATGCTGACTCCTTCAGACCCCACTTCACCTATGACAAACTCAAAACCTCTCCCATGTACCCTCAGTTTGGAGATCATCCAAATCCGGCCCACAGCCCTTATAAGTGGTAAAAATTTCTCCTTGAACGTGTGGGTGTGCCACCTCTATCCTCCTTTCAAATCCCCTGCCAAACCATCTTTTCTGCAAGACGCTTGGCTTCACAGCTTAATCCTCACCCCCAACTGTAAACATGTTTTGTCAGAATGAGTAACTTGTGCTCTGCCAGATGTTGTTGAATGCCAGCTTCCATCCGGCATGGCCAATGGTCAGGCATGATGGGAGTTGTAGTTCAAAGCATGCAGAGGGCCATTGATCCTTCATCTAAGTACATGCAATGCCATTTGTCCACATCCACCCCTTGCTACACTTTTCTCTGCTTTTCAGCCCCTCTGTAATTTGTCCCGTTCTCTACTTAAAACTGTAATCTCCTTGGGATCAGGGATCTGTATATTTTTCGTTTACATTGATGTCACTGTCTTCATCAAGTCAGAATGTGAAACAACAAGCAAAAGGAGAACAATTTTATGTTTAACATAATACATTTATGTAAAGACAGCCCTAGAATTGAGAAAGGATTATTTAATCTGCTTTACAGTATACAGTTAAAGGAAGGTTTTAAGTCAGACCTCAGTGAGCAAGGAGGTGGGAGGGTTTGCAGATTTTACTACCTTGGGGAGGGATGTAAAAAGGCTAGGTAAAAATACGGTAAACATCTGTATATATTATAACAATAAAAATATTATAGTCTTGGTTCTTATTGTCAATTATATGTAAAACAAATAGTTGAAAAGGAATGCGTGTTTTATAATATTCAAAGGCAATGCAAAAATTGATAAAATATTAGTTATGTTAATGGAGAATAATGAAACCCTCTCTAACAACCATTCTGCATTTATATTTCCTTATTCCAACATATTAAAAATTGCACTTTTTCTGTTTGCAAATGATAATTGATCACAGGCTAAAGAGTGCATATTAAATTAAAAACACTACTGAGCTTTTGGAATCAATTTGCATAATCCTGACAATAATTGTTAAAGGGCAGCAAGAGTGCCATGGACTTAAATCTAGTGTTGTGAACTGCATAAAGAAGGCTCTAATTCATAATGGATAATAAATTGATGCTCTTTGTCAGTTTTCCAGTGAGTAGAGATCCACACTGGAGCGGGGAAAACACACCAGAATTCTAAATGTAATATGGAGCAGAGTGGCCATTGCTGACATCTCTCTATTAACTCATGTTGACCAGATTCTCACTAATCTCAGAGGTCTATGAGCCAACATGTTAATATATGAAAAATGTTGCTTTGGAAAACAAGGAATAACTAGTCAGTTGGTAGTGAGCAGTTTCTGTTTGTGATCATCTACGGCCAAATAAAGTCCATATATTTTGAGCATTTATTTTGTAAGTACTGTATTTATTTTTAAGAGAA